TGTCCCCGGGCAAACTCACCTCCTTGTAGGCCTGCAGGTAGGACAGCACCTGCAGAAAGTGGTGGCGGGAGGTGGCATCAGCTGGCACCTTCCCAAAGCACAGCAGGGCCGGCTGGGTCAGGTTCACCATCAACCTGGGAGGGAGGGGAGGGCTGTGAGAGACCCCTGCCCACCAAACAGACCCCATAGGATCACCCAGGTCAGGTTCACCATCAACCTGGGAGGGAATGGAGCACTCTGAGAGACCCCTGCCCACCAAGGAGCCCTCACAGGACCACCCCTGACCCCAGGCCAGCTTCACCATCAACCTGTGAGAGACCCCTGCCCACTAAAGAGACCCCACAGAGCCACCTGGGTCAGGTTCACCATCAACCTGGGAGGGAATGGAAGGCTGTGAGAGACCCCTGCCCACCAGGAAGCCCTCAAAGAGCCACCTGGGTCAGGTTCACCACCAACCTGTGAGAGACCCCTGCCCACTAAAGAGATCCCACAGGACCACCCCTAACCCTGGGCTGGCTGGGTCAGGTTCACCATCAGGAGGGAGTAGGGGGCCCTGAGAGACCCCTGCCCACCAAGGAGCCCCCACAGAGCCACCCAGGTCAGGTTCACCATCAACCTGGGAGGGAATGGAGGGCTGTGAGAGACCCCTGCCCACCAAACAGACCCCACAGGACCACCTGGGTCAGGTTCCCCATCAACCTGGGAGAGACCCCTGCCCACCAAGGAGCCCCCAAAGGGCCACCCTGGGCCACCTGGGTCAGGTTCGCCATCAACCTGGGAGGGAGTAGGGGGCTGTGAGAGAACCCTGCCCACCAAGGAGCCCTCACAGGACCACCTGGGTCAGGTTCCCCATCAACCTGGGAGAGACCCCTGCCCACTAAAGAGACCCTACAGGACCACCCCTGACCCCAGGTCAGGTTCCCCATCAACCTGTGATGGAGTGGAGGGCTCTGAGAGACCCCTGCCCACCAAGGAGCCACCCCCGACCCCAACCCCGCCGTTTGCTACCTGATGACAGCATCAAAGAGCACTTTCTCCTGTGGGTACTGCACCAGGATGGGCAGGAGATCGTTCTGCAGGATCTGGGCCGCCCCCAGCTGCTGCCGCACGTCCCGGGTCTCATCCTCATGGCGCAGGTACCGGATCAGGTCCTTGACGCTCTCTGGGGGCACGGAGCCGTCAGTCCCCGCCGTTCCCGGTTTCCCCCCCGCCCCGGTGCCCACCTACCGAGGCAGTCGGGCTCCCGGTGGTACACGTCGCCCTCCAGGTAGCCCAGGGCGCTGCAGGTGGCCAGGAGCTCGCAGTTCATCATGTACCAGTCCATGCAGCGCGGGGCTGCGCACCGGATCGGTACCGGGGGTCACCTGCGGGCCACCGTCAGCACCGGGGACCCCCGGTTC